GTTTAGTGGCTTAGCTGTCTGTGAACCAATCTTTATTACTTTCTTAGGATGAGAGTGTAATTAATTTGGAATGTAGTTTATGACTATGTAATTTCCAGTGAAAACAGATGTCTTTGTTATGTTATTTCATGAATTTTAAGATCAATGGATTTTGTCTTGATGAAATGCCAGTAAATTATGAACAGGGTGTCACTCTCAGAAAAAGTAAAAGATGTATATAGTTTACCCATATATATGATTTCATCCACTGTCAAATGTATATACTGTATGTTCTTAAGTGTACAACCTTTGTATATTAACATGTTTTTAAGATATCATCTTTCCCTTAAAATACTCACACATTTATAAGAAATGTTCATGCAAATTTTAGTTGTTTTTGGTTTTCATGTAGTTTTTCAAAGTTCATCTGTGAATGGAAAGTATAGGGACTCTTTTATTTTACACTGTTTACAAGATTAGAGTGTAAAAACAATTTTATTTGAAGATAATGAGGACTGTCCTCTCACTGCTGATACACACATTTATGCTGATATTAACACCATAATAAGTGATGCAAGACCAGTGTACATGTTAGCACATTAGATAAATGCAGTCATTAAGGTAATAGTGAGCACAACTTATGATTTAGGAAAGTGTTTTATGTAGACATGATTCAGAACCTAAAATTTGTATGAAATGGCGGAAATGTACCCAAAGGAGTGTCACTATCCCCATTAACCTTATATGTGGAAGAAGAGAAACACTTATTCCTGAAACCCTCCAGTAGTCTACTGTGCAGCAAAGATTATAATGGTGTAGGAGACCATTAAAACTAAACTCTTTGATTCAGTGGGAAATGTGTTGTAAAATGCAAATTATGCACCTTTAAAGTTACGCTGGGGAATAGAGTGGCGATTTTTTGTAGCATGAATGTAATATTCATTAATCAGAGATTAAGCATGTTTTATGTAGGATTTTTTGTGTTCAAGATTTTTGTTGTTATTTTTTTGTGTTTAACTAACATAAAGATACTTATTAAATGTTTCATCTTATTCATAACTGATCCAAGCCATATTTTTTTGTTATATCAGTGTAAAATTATATGATATAATATATGAATATATCTCACGGATTCAGTAAATTTGACTGTAGCAACCAGTATCCATAGCATACCAGCTGTTTTTTAAATTTGAAATGTTCAGTGTTTAGTGGTTTACTACATTATCTAATAACCTTTGATTTAGATATAAGTAACTTTGGGAAGAAAGTTTTGTCAGAAATTGAAATACTACCAAGCATGGGAATTTTGACTGTTATATCAAGTAATGATTTCTTGATTTTTTCAAGATCATTTGTCATGAATTACCTTATATACAATACATTTTATATATGTATATGTATATTATGTATGTATATCATACACATATTTATATACAGTATTTTATATATCTGTATATGCATACTTCCTTATCTGTATTTACATAATTTTAACATTTTTCTTTGTGTTCACTTAGTTATTTATCTATTTATTATAGCCAAGTTGTATTTCTCAGAAAAAAAATATTTAGTACGTGGGTGCGAGTATGAAAATGTGCGTATGTTTGCCAGTTCTTTCGTTTTTTCCCTCTTTGCCCACTTGAAGATAGAACTGAGCACAAGGGGAACCCATCTGATGTGTTTTGGGTATCATATGACTCTTTTAAACTGACAAATGTTTTTGGAATATCCTGTGTTTTCAGTACCATCCTTCAGTAGTCCTTTTGGGTGAAGTATTTTACATTCTCATTGTCATGTTTTATTTTACACTCTTTGCTTTGACCACTTGTTCCTCTTTCATCAAAAAATAAATTCTCCCTTGTCTAACTTCGCTGTTCTTGAGAAAGATGTAGAGCACATTCGTGTTGCCTTGTTTTTTTCTCTCAGTATTATAAGTTTTAATTTCTTCAGTCTCTATATATAATTCACTTCTTAAATCCAGTGATGATGAGTAAAATATTTGGCAGTCATAGAAGGATATTTGGTAGTCATAGAAGGATTAGTGTGCTCTATTTCCCAATTCACTGATTGTCCAGTTTGTGAGACCTCATCCTAGCAGTCTACTAACATGAATGCCCTCTTCATGTTTGTGATAGCATTTTGCATAATTTTTTGTTTATGCAATTTTCTAGATTCAGGTTCCCCTGTGTGTGCGTGTGTGTGTGTGTGTGTGTGTGTGTGTGTGTGTGTGTGTGTGTGTGTGTGTGTGTGTGTGTGTGTGTGTGTGTGTGTGTGTGTGTGTGTGTGTGTGTGTGTGTGTGTGTGTGTGTGTGTGTGCGTGTGTGTGTTTCTGTGTCTGTGTGTGCATCTGTGCATCAGTTTGTCAGTTTGTCTGGTCTGTCTGTCTGTTGTACTGTCTGTATGCAAACTATATATTTATGGTCATTATTTATTTATTAATTTATGTATATTTTAGTTACACTATTTATGAATATAATTTCCAGGGAAGCTTACTTTGTGCTTATTCTACTTATGTTTTTTATTTGTGTGTGAACTGTTAATATGCTTGAGAATAAATATAGAATTAGTAAGTTCTTAATTTAGTTAAACAGTCCAGTAGCAGTTTCATTATTTAAAATGAAAGGAGCTTACATTGTGAACTTTTTGTACTTATTTTGTAGTCATTATATTTTTAAAATAAAACAAAAGATATTGTATACAAGTAGATATACAGCAGAATTGAATCATTCTTTTAGTAAATGTAAGCTAGCAATCAATTTGTAAGAAAACTCAAATAAACTGCAAAATAATGTAAATTGTTTCTCTATCCTTTTAAACTGCCTCGTAACAATATTTCAAATTTGAGTTGTTTCATAAATCTTCAGGTACAACATTTCAAATTGGAGTTGTTTCATATATCCTGAAGTGTAGTGAGTGACAGGTCATAACATAAAAAAATGATACATTGTCCAATTGGCACAGTTGAAGTAAAAGCCGGTCCCATATTCAAGTGGACGTACTGGCATATCCATAGAATGCATAATAAACTCTAGGATGATGCAGTAGGGTGGCCAGTTCCTTCCCACAAGTACCCAGACCTTAGCTGATTTTAGTACTCATTCAGAGCTGAGTTGACTGCACTCCATTTAATTTGGTAGGGCAGTGTGGTAATAGCTAGTGGGAATTATTTGTGGCTGTTACCCAAATATTTTTGTGTAACTATTTCAGTGCAGATTAATGAAGTTGAATTGACATAATTGTCACTGGTACTGTGTGTAAAATTGATTCACATCTGAACTGTGTTCCTATAAGTGTTTTATAGTTGTGGGAAAGTTCCTAAATCATGTATATAAATGTATATGGAACCATCCAAGCAATAAAAAAGTTAGCTTGAATTCCTTTTTTACATTAAAAATAAAAAAATATTTCTCTCTCTCTCTCTCTCTCTCTCTCTCTCTCTCTCTCTCTCTCTCTCTCTCTCTCTCTCTCTCTCTCTCTCTCTCTCTCTCTCTCTCTCTCTCTCTCTCTATATATATATATATATATATATACATATATATATATATATATATATATACATATATATATATATATATATATATATATATATATATATATATATATATATATATATATATATATATATATATATATATATATATATATATATGCATATATATATATATATATATGTATATATATATATATATATATATATATATATATATATATATATATATATATATATATATATATATATATATATATATATATATATATATACATATATATATATATATATTATATATGCATGTATGTATACATATACACATATCTGTATGAACCGTATTCATGTTGACAAATGTAGAAATGGCATGAATGAGAATGAATATCTTCAGAATACAAGATATGTAGTTGATCAGTTTTGATTATATCTTTGTCAGAAATGCATGTATTTCTAACGAAGATATAATTGAAACGGGTCAAATACATCTATTGTATTGTGGAGATATTCATTCTCATTCATACCTTTTCTACATGTACCTGTATATGTATACATATATACATATATATACCTGTGTGTATATATTCATATATATACACCTGTGTGTATATATATACATATGTATATATATGTATATGTATATATTATGTGTATATATATGTATTTATTTATATATATATATATATATATATATATATATATATATATATATATATATATATATATATATATATATATACATATACATATGCATGTGTATATATTTGTGTGTGTGTGTGTGTGTGTGTGTGTGTGTGTGTGTGTGTGTGTGTGTGTGTGTGTGTGTGTGTGTGTGTGTGTGTGTGTGTGTGTGTGTGTGTGTGTGTGTGTGTGTGTGTCTGTGTGTGTGTGTGTTTATATATGTGTTTATATATGTATTTATGTATGTATTTATATATGTATTATGTTTGTATGTGTATGTGTATATATATGTATATATATGTCCATATATGTATATATGTGTGTATATACATGTATATATATGTATATTTATATGAATATATATATGTATATATATATATATGTATATATATATATATATATATATATATATATATATATATATATATATATATATATATATGTATATATATGTATATATATATATATATATATATATATATATATATATATATATATATATATATATATATATATACATATATATACATATATATACATATATATACATATATATACATATATATACATATATATACATATATATACATATATATACATATATATACATATATATACATATATATACATATATATATATATATATATATATATATATATATATATATATATATATATATATATATATATATATATATATATATATATATATATATATATATAAAAAAAATAAAGCTTTACAAAGTTTAATTTTTGCCATGAATTGAGTTTATTCAGAAATCATCCAGAATCTGTTAAGCTTTATTATACCAAATAATCACAGAATAGGTATTTGAGAAGGGAAACAAATAGAATAAAAGAACTTTCCTTTTTTTATTTTCCTTGCAGTGACTAGTTTGTTACACTCAAAAATCTCCTCTATCCAAGTATTGTTTTATATTCATTATATTAGATTATTCATTTTAATCAACCATTTCCTCCACCCAATGCCACGAGTATCATGCAGTAATTCTCAAAAATAAATGTTACAAGAAAAATAACATGAAAATATGTATTAAGTGACCATCACATGGCTAAATGAAAATGGAGATTAATATCATACATATTTTGTTAGACTTGATATCATCATAATGGTACCTGAAGAAAGAGGACACAAAGATGTTAAATAATTAAATATGGGAATTCAGTTTCATCCATTGGGAACATCGCTATTATAGTGATGAAAAGAGCAGAGAAAGTTGGAATTCCTGTTGGTCTGATTTCATTTGATGTTTTAATATCTGTAATATCATTGTGGCAACATGTAATGCCTTCATATTTACAGTGGAACATTAATATAATCACTGCTAAAGGGAAGCTTAATATTAAGATAAAATTTAAATTACAAACTGATATAAAAGGAGAAGTATTCCTATATATTTAGGACCATGTTACTAGGACTTTAAACTGAATAAAATTTAATTTTCAGACATTTTGCCTAAAATCTAGTCATAAAATTACAAGAAAATCCTTCAGTTTGAAAGGATTTTAAAATCATTATTGTACTTTCCCTTTCATGGTCCTTTGCCAGATTACTCCAATCAAGCCCTTCAAAAGATTTTTGAAAATCTTTTTGGATCACTGGCAAGGAATTAAAGATAATCATCTCTAAAGAAACTTAAAAAGAAATCACAGAAACATTTTGATTTCTGTTTTGTGGATTTCAAATCATAAGAGTAATCACTAAATTAAACATTAAAAGTAATAAGTACATAAACGAAACAAAATCAAAATAAGACAGAAATTTAGAGAAGCTCAACTAATATCGGATAAGTTCAATCAAAGAAAAAACATCCTGGGCCATTTCTACTTGTGTTCATATAACCAATCTATAAATAAATAAATATACAAACAGATACTACATAAATAAGTCTGATAGTGCTTTATCAACAAAAATGACCTCATCTCTTCACAGAATTAGTTTCAAAAGAACTCAAAATATTATTAATTCATACCATAATAAATCAGTCTTAATCCCTTCATATACAATTTAAAGCTTGTTTGCTTTCAGGAGTGCTAAAGCTCTGCGGTCAACCATGCATCTCGGCCAAGCAACACAATAACACTTAAACCAAGGTGACGTGCGGTAAATACAATGTATTCTGCATAAAAAAATGACACCCAACATTTAGGCACCACCATTGCTCACCAGCATTAATAGACACACTTCCATTGGCCAACACATCAACTTAAGCACACTCAAAGAAACAGGCCTTAAATTTGGCTGACCACATTCAAATAATTAGATTGTTCCCAATGCCAAATCAAATTTCAAAATCTACAATCATCCCCTTTACAGGATCAAGTGGTGGCTTACGTTAGTCAGATCCTTTTAACAATACTGGTGTTTACTGATATGGCATCTAGCTTACCTACTCACATATAGTATTGTGATTATTTTCTCTATAATCACAGTCATACAAAAATAACACTACTCTATACACACTAAAGCTTTGGTATTAATAAAGACTTTTGTTCCACAGCCTTTTTAGGGATTTGGGACAAAAATTTTGCATAAGTTTTTTTATCTTTCTTTCTTTTCTTTTTGCTTAGAAAATGGCCATTATTAGAGTAGTTCACTGGCTACAAGGTAAGATAGCCACAAAGAAGAAAGTTTCCTAAATATATCATTCCTAACCTATTCATTTCAACTTTTATTAATAGAACTACTATACTCTTGAATATCATGGGAGTTTAAACCAAAAAAAAAATCCATTCTGATACTGTTAAACTTTTTCATAAAGTCTGAAAGCTTTTAATTATATATGAGAATTATTCAAATAATAAAATCTGGTTATAAAACAAAAAAAACAATCTATCTGTTTTAGATAAAAAAAAAAAAAAAAACTTTAGCTGACTCCCATTTCAAAATAATTATGGCATTATATAGCAATGCTCTCCAAACTAATATTCAGTTCCATATTTTATGAAAGTTACTTGTGCAAAGAAAAAAAAGAAGAAAAAAAGTTAAATATATTCTATTCCAGATACTAACAAAATATACCTCGCTTATTTTACCTATAGACCATAACAATAATTTTTTCTTTGGAAAATATCATTCAGTAATATTCTTGAAGATGAACTTTTTATTTTCAATTTTTTTCCAGGCTTTAAGTTGTACACAACAGATATTTTTTCCCTGAGTATATAGCTATTGTTTATTATCCATTCATATGAACATGTTTTATGTCAACAGCTGATACTAGGTTTGTAAACAACATTTTTTAATAATAAAAAAGCATGTAATAAATATTCTATTGCAAGTCACATCTCTTTTACATAATACCTCCTGACATTCCACCAAAATCTATTCTGTTGCGCTATATCGAGGCCTTTCTAGAGTTGCAATGCCCGCCTGCTGACCCATCAAAGCATGCTGGTAATAAGCACTTTGCAGAGTATATGGATTCAGGCTCTCGTATCCTGGAAAAAAAATGCATTCAAATTATGGTGTATTTACTGATTGAAAATATATTTCTTTCTTTTTAATTTTTCTTTCTTTCTACCTTTCCTTGACAAAGCAACAAATGAAAAAGTCCATGCTAAAGATAAAGCTTTAGACAGTCTTACAATTATATTTTCTTCTAAAGATAGGAGCACTGAAGGAAGGGAAAGGCCATTTCTTCTTTTAATATTTTTTTTTTGTGTGGGGGAGTAAGAATTTTCTTGAAAAGATGGGTTTGCCTATTATGAATAGTAAAAGAATTTGCTTGACACCAGTAATATAGTTATGTATCCTCTAAAAGGTATTAATAATCCATATAAAATAATATAAACACTCAGTCATGAAGTATAAAATAAAGTAAATAAATAAAGCTGAGGATATAACTCTAATTAACCCAATGCCTCCCTGACTCAAAATTGTTTAACACAACTATTGTTAACAGCTATCTAAACTTTAAAAAGACTGGGATTACACCACATTTCAAAAGGATCTTTAACATACCAGCAAGAGTAGGAGACGGCACCAAGTATGTGCCAGGAGTAACTGCCATGCTTTGTGCGGTTGGTGTAGGTATGGAAGGTGTAATAATAGGAGCCATGTTCACTGGAGAGGTCATGTAGTATTGTGGTGTGAGTGGAGGACCTCTGTAAGCCTGACCATTCTGCAACATTCTTGCATTAGCAGTTTGGTTACGCACCGGGGTTTGCAGCATCCCTGAACAAGAAAATATAAATAAAATCTTACCATATTCATCTTAATTTTCTGCATAATTTCTCTATATTAGTTTTTCCACTTCAAAGTCCATAAAGATGCATATAAAAGTAAACACATATATATATAAAATAACTGTATTCCTGACACACATAGATATGAAGTTAGAGTAAGGTTATCACACACAGCATATAATGTAGAGTATCTCTATACGTTACCTAATTGTTTTAAAACTGCATCAGTAGCCAAGTTCTGCACTTCATCTGGAGAACTTGCCATCCTTTCTGATTGGAAATGAGCAGGGACAGTTGGGTACCCAGGGATAATTACCTTGAAGAAAATATATACAATACAGTAAGTCTAGGGTAACACAGATGATGCTAAATGCTCAGACAGACAATGTATGGTTACCCTTACTCTTATCTCCTTATTTCTTTCCACATTCAATAATTAATCTTTATCACCGAACTAAATAATTCAGTGCAGTTACATGCCAAAGTATAGAAAATATTGATAATAAATAGATGGTTTACTTTTTATAATCTTACCTCACTCTGGTTTTTCACTTGAGGTATAAACATTGCTGGTGACTGTATACCCACGAGTGGTGTCTGAAATGTAAATGGAAAATCCATTTTTAATCTGTTTCCTTTCTTTTTACATGGCTGTGTGTCTCAAGGTTGGATGCGTGTGGGTATGGGTGTGTGTCTCATGGAGTTATGTTTTAAGGTAAGCATAAGGGTGAGGGTGAGGGTATGGTTGTGGGTGTGGGTATGTGTCATGGTATCATGTTTTAGAGTGAGCATGATGGTGAGGGTATGGATGTGGGTATGGATATCTGTGGCATGGTGTCATGTTTTAGAGTGAGGGTAATGGTGTGGGTATGGATGTGGGAGTGGGTATGACATGATGTCATGTTTTAGGATAAGGATAATGGTGATGGTAAGGATATGAATGTGGGTGTGGGTATGTGTGTCATGGTGTCATATTTTAGGATATGGGTAATGGTCTGGATGTGGAAGTGGTTGTGCATCTTCATATGCATGCATGAGTGTGAGCATGTGAGTGTGTGAGTGTCAGTGTGAGTGTCAGTATGAGTATGAGTGTGAGTGTGAGTGTGAGTGTGAGTGTGTGTGTGTGTGTGTGTGTGTGTGTGTGTGTGTGTGTGTGTGTGTGTGTGTGTGTGTGTGTGTGTGTGTGTGTGTGTGTGTGTGTGTGTGTGTGCACGCACCTGAGTGTGTATATGATTGTCAGAGTGTGTGGGTATGTTAAGGTGTGGATAATGGTGTGCTTGTCTGCATGTACAAGTGTGCAGACATGAGTGTGAGTGTACATGTATATCTTCGTCTTCATCAACCCTAAAGGAGCAACTCACATCCACATTCCTCAAGCGTGAAGACCCTGATCGCGGCTGATGCTGGAGGCCCTGGGCTCCCGCTGCCCTTCGCACTTGGGGCAGCATGATCATCGGTTCCCTGTTGGAGGTCATTGTGTGGTCTTACTGCTGTGGCTAATTTGGATTGTGTGAAATATAGAAGAGGTGCTTCTAAATGTGTTCTGTGTTTCATAAAGGGAATATGTATTGCATTATTTGAATTCTTGACACATCACTCTCTCACTCTCTCACTCTTTCACCCTCTCAACTCACACCCACTCACTCTCTC